TATTAGGGCCCTATTTGTCTCTTATTGTTTCACTTATTGCGTTTCCCTCCCCTCCTTTCGTCGCCTTTGTGTCCTCTCTAACTTCTAGTTTGGTGCCTTCTTGGTGCCCTGCTATTGTGGCTGGGTGTGTGTCGGGTACTGCGTCTTTGCCTTGTTGATCTTCATTCTTATTTTTTACACGTTGCAGTGAATCTTCAATCATCTGTCGATGTCCTGTGCCTTCTTAACCATTTCCACGTACGGAGGGGAAGAAGGAAGGTATTGAAAACGTTTTCATGACATTGAGTTTATAGCCTTAAGAGCGTTGAACTTAGACGGCCATGTGCACTGTAGTTCTGCTCTGGCATGTATAGATACAATACCAAAGTTTACGTACTTATACTGCTAAACAGCCTGCCCAGGATCGATTTGGTGACCGAATTGTGCTCTAGTGAATTCAAAGAGGCTTTCTGTTGTGATATGGAGGTTAGTGTACAAAAACCGCCACCTACATCAAATTGTCATGCAGTTTTTGTAGCTGACAGAGATTTGTTATGGAACGCCTGGACTGTCTTATGTGTAGAGTGACTGATATACATGGTTAAATGTGATTCTGTTGAGTCCGAGATACAATATGCTGGGTCAAAATCCCAATATACTGGGTGGAAATCCAAATGCGCTCAGTTATTGAAGTGTAATGTTGTGTGCTGATTACATTTTATTCAGTCAAGTCAATGTATTGTCGGGTGCATAAGTCGTTATGTTCAGTTTATAAAACAAACAGGGCATGTGGTAACACAATTATGTTGAATTAAAAGATATGTTGTAGGGTATGACAGTTGTTATGTTCGGTTTTAAAATAGCTCTTCTCATCATGTACAACCATGAAAATAAACTGTTAAGTGGTACTATCATTTCGTTTGCTGAGGGCAGTGTATTATTGGGTGATCCTTTTATCATTTTCAGTTGAAATTGACATGGGTGCTTTATTCAGACTGTCCAGTCGTTGAAATAAAACTGTTGAATAGTACTATCATTATGTTCAGTTCAGATGATGTACTGTTTCGGTGCAGAGGTCATTATGTTTCAGTAATGTCAGTAGTGACCACAAACTTGTTGTGTGATACTATCATTATGTTCAGTTCAGATGATATACTGTTCGGTGCAGAAGTCATTATGTTTAGTTCAGATGATGTACTGTTCGGTGCAAAAGTCATTATGTTCAGTTCAGATGATGTACTGTTCGGTGCAGAGGTCATTATGTTCAGTTCAGATAATATACTGTTCGGTGCAGAAGCCATTATTGTTCAGTTCAGATAATATACTGTTCGGTGCAGAAGTCATTATGTTCAGTAGTGAACACAAACTGTTGTGTGATACCGTCATTATGTTCAGTTTCAGATGATATTTCTGTTCGGTGCAGGAGTTCATTATGTTCAGTAGTGAACACAAACTGGTGTGTGATACCGTCATTATGTTCAGTTCAGATGATATACTGTTCGGTGCACAAGTCATTTGACAATGCGCTGAGTGGTCATACAATTATGTTGGGTTCATTCGGATTTCTTCGCGTCAAACAAGATGGCGGGCGGGAGCAACTAATTTCCATAGGTCACGTTGAGGCTAATGACCACTAAATTGCCAAAACAATTACCTATTTGAGTCACATATGGCCACAGTATAAAGAACGTTAAATATAAGTATGGAAACCCCATTTGAGACACACATGACCACAGTAAAGGGAACATTATATATAAGTAAGTGTAGCCTAATAAAGTCAAACATGGCCAAAGTATAAAGAAAATTCTATATAAGTAAGTGAAACGTAATTGAGTCACATATGGTCACAATATATTAGACATAATGTTTAAGTCAGGGAAATGTATTTGAGTCTAATTTTATTAGGCTACCCTTACTTGTATATAATGTTCCATATACTTTAGTTATGCGTGACTCAAAAAGGTTTCCCTTACTTAAACATAATGTTCCATATATTTTGGCCTAGTGTGACTCAATTAGGTTTCCCTTACTTATATAGAATGTTATTCATAATGTGGGTATGTGTGACTTTATTGCGCTACCTATACTTATATTTTGGCCTAGTGTGACTCAATTAGGTTTCCCTTACTTATATAGAATGTTATTCATAATGTGGGTATGTGTGACTTTATTGCGCTACCTATACTTATATTTAATATAAGTCCATGTGTGACTCAAATAGGTTTCCCTTACTTAGATATTATGTTCCATTTATTGTGGTTATGTGTGACTCAAATGGGTTACCAACAAATACATTTTAAGTTGTATATGCTGTGGCCATATGTGACTTTAATAGGCTACCCTTACTTATATGCTCCATATACTGTGGCCATGTGTGACTCAAATAGGGTTCCCTTACTTGAATATGATGTTTTATATTTTAAATTTCGTTTGGTGTGTCCATTTGTGACTCTTATAGGTTACCAAACAGATAAATTTTAAGTTTTATTTACGGTGGTCATGTGTGACTTTAGCAGGCTACCCTTACCCCTATTTTAAGTTTTCTATATACTGTACCCATTATGACTGTAACAGTATAGTATAGTCATGAATTAACTAATAAATACCCATAGGGTATTTAAAAGTCCAATTTATGAAAATAACGTTCTTAAGCCCCCCGATAATATTTACAGGGAAGAAAATTGTTTTGGCAATTTAGTGGTCATTAGCCTCGACTTGACCTCTCCCATCTTGTTGCCCGAAAATATCCGAATGAACCCAACATAATGGTTGTATCACACAACAGTTTGTGTTCACTATTGAACATAATGACCTCTGCAACGAACAGTATATCATCTGAACTGAACATAATGATAGTACCAAAAAACCACTGAACATAACGACCTTTGCACCGAACAACACATTGACTTGACTGAAGAAGATATAATCAGCACACAAGATAATGATAGTACCATTTAAGATAATGATTGTACCATTTAACAGTTCTATTTCACGACTGAACAGAAGGAATAAAGCACCCAACAGCATGTCATTGCAACTGAAAATAAAAAAGTATCACCCAATAATACACTGCCTCAACCAAACAAAATGATAGTACCACTCAACTGTTTATTTTCATGGTTTGAACATGATGAGAAGAGCACCAAACAGCATACTATTATAACGAACATAATAACTGTAACACCTTACAACATATCTTTTAACTCAACATAATTGTGTTTCCACATGCCTGTTTGTTTTAAGAACTGAACATAACGACTTATGCACCCGACAATACATTGACTTGACTGAATAAAATACAGTCAGCACACAACATAGCACTTCAATAACTGAGCACATTAGGATTTCAACCCAGCATTTTGTATCTCAGACTCAACAGAAAGACATTTAACCAGGTATATCATTCAATCTTAACATAAGACAGTCCAGGCGTTCCATAATTTGTGACAAGAGGCGCAGCAGTGTAGCTAGTTTTGGCTATTATTTTACCTTTTTATGATAGAACGAAACAAAATTCAACAGACTAGAGCTTCTGTATAGGAGAGTTAATTGGGGAGCAATTTATCAATTTATCAAAAATGAAAACTATATAGATATATACGTTTTATTCTTCATATTCCCTTTTCACTTTATCTGGGGCATAATTCTATAAGTATAACATTTATGTATATTTATAGCGAACGAGTTTAGAAAAGTGTTATAAATCATTTATAAAATTTCACGCCCGTGACAATTGTAACAGATACAAAATTCTTATATTAAGTGCCCTTACTGTGAGCAAAAATATAATGTTTTCTTCATTTGAAAATGACCGGGTTTTTTTTTTTTTTTTTTTTTGTTATTGTTGTTTATTTTTTTTTTTTTTTTTTGTTTTGTTTTTTTGGGGTTTTTTGGGTCATAAGAAAAAAAATGTATGGTAATGAAAAAAAATCGTTATATTATATTAAAGGGCGGTAACAGTTTACACATACCCATCAAACAATTTCGAATTAATTTAAGACAGAAATATGTTCCTCTGTTAAATAGCCCATGTCTTAAAAAATGTCAGTCAATCAAAGAGGAATTATAGAAGTTATTGAGCTAGAGCCAGCTATTTATTTTTGAATAAGAATTGAGCCGCGTCACGACAAAACCAACATAGTGCGTTTGCGACCAGCATGGATCCAGACCAGCCTGCGCATCCGCGCAGTCTGATCAGGATCCATGCTGTTCGCTTACCAACTCTATTACAAGTGGAGAAACTGATAGCCCTGATCAGACTGCGCGGATGCGCAGGCTGGTCTGGATCCATGCTGGTCGCAAACGCACTATGTTGGTTTTGTCGTGACGCGGCTCAAATAATGTAATTAAAACCTCGGAGACACTGTAAAATAAAACATATATATTACATGTAGAATACAGTGCCGAAAGGAAGACAATGGTTTGCTATACATATCTTTGGGGGGGAAAAAAGAGAAAGAAGAATTAAAAAAAATGAATTGGTAAATACGCAGGAAGTTAAATGTTATATATAAAATAACAAAATACTAGCTGCATATCTCGTAACAACTTTGTTATTACCGGTTTCCTGTACCGATAGGCCATAGTGTATTATTGTATTTAAAACAAGTAAATATATAACGTTTTATTGCAGTTATAATACTTGAAAATCACATGAATGTTCAGAACTGTACGTTGTTCAAGTGGCCTTTCCGTTAGCGTAACTTTAAATGCAGTTTATCGTGATAACCACAAAATCACGTGACATTAGAAGTTACATTAATATGATAACATTATTTTAAACAGACAAGTAAATGTGATTGTACATATATCATTTATGAATGATAACATATATTGGATACATAGATCACCCTTTAACAATCAATCACATTTGATTGTTTCAGCACAACGGAAGGTTTTACAATATATCTCAGGTATTTTATTTTCAATTTCATTTAAACTAAATTAATGCATTCAAAATATTAAGTTTGTTTAAACCTAATTATTTACTCAACTGCAAAGAAACCGAAACGCTTTTATGTAACCACAGCGAGACTGTTTAACAAAACGAGTGTTGTTTTCATGCGAGAAATGTGATCATGACTGAACAAACTGGACTTGGACTCACGATTCGTGGAAGGAGTCTGAATATAATTCATCGATTACACTGTGAAAATTTAGTAACGCAGGTAACGCAGAATCCTGCAATTTTATTAAAATATTTCCAGGAGAGGGTTTGTCTTCTTAAGATCATTCGTGAGAATGGCGACCTACCTAGCGTGTTCAGAGGTTACTTTTGTTATTCGTCAATAAAACAATAACGTAAATATTTGTATATAATTATTAAATTTTTCTTGTTTTTATTTTTTTTATTTGTTATCCCTGAAACATTTGCAAAACTACTCGTGTCATATAACATTACTCTTAAATAAACAAATGAAATGTAACTCAAACAAGTTTTTACGAGGTAATGTCTCTCGTGCAGGATGCATCAAATCAACGCTGCATGGTTATCTTATTAAAAGGTAGATGAATTGTAATTTATTTCCTATCTTTAAGTATACATGTATGATATGACACTAGTTTTTAAACAAATGTCTAAGGTATATTGAATTTCAATACAATAAAGTTTTAAATGCATATTGTACTTTAAAATGTATACGGAACTCAAGTCGCCTTCAAAACCGTAGCCTTGTCAGGTCGACATTCTCAGGGATGATTTTAAAAAGTAAACATTCCTGAAATATTTGTAATGCTGGTTTTATTGCACAGATTCGGCGTTACTTTTGCACAATTCTTGCGTTATTTTCACACGCTACAAAATATGATTGGTTTCGGCACGGATCTTAAATTTATTGTATAAATCAGTGGTTTCGGTTATTTTTGTTTATAAATTTCGCAGTTTTTTAGATATTACTCATACTCGTGATTTCATTTTGTACAGCATTTTTTTTAGTTATGATTATATGGCAACTCGCCAGCTTTATACTGGTTGGAGAAACTACGAAACAGTCAATGTAGTTTGCTATATTCGACGTCACGTCACTGGCGGGATTTGAACCAACAATTGATATTTTGGTTATTATTAGTATTTCATATGCATGCACTCAGGTGTTTCAAAATATTGATATAATTATTTTACATTTTCATGTTCTATTGAGTTGTGTTGTTAAATTTAGTACGTCAACATGTATTATTCTAAGAAAACTTGTTATTGCATCCAGGATCTTTCTACTTGAAATACCCTGTTGAAAGAAAATTAATGCAGTATGACACATTTAACTTCAAGGATGATGTATTCACAATATAGCTTTAAGATATTAAATTTTTTTATGGTATTTTACTCGTATAAATGCGTAACCCTAGCATCTGTATAACATATCGTTAACGATGTTTACAAATGTTATCAGGGTCGATAATAGGTCGATATCAGGGTCAGGGCACTTACCCGTGCCTCCGTAAAAATGGTATTGCTCGGCCGTACATATACCATTTGCGTTATATAAACGTAGGCTACTGTACGTCTTCATTTTGGGTATGTGGTAAATACAATATTGTATTCGTGTAGGTTCATTTGTGAATTTATTGAATGCATTGATCCGGTAATGAACTTGTAACACTCATTCAATATACTCTCTATATATATTATGTATGTGTATATATATATCCCTGAAGTTATGAAATAAAGTTCAGGGGTGCGTTTCATAAAGAATCGTAAGTCTAAAACATAAGACTAAAGTTAGGACTGGATAAGATTGCACTTAGGAGCGTTTTCAAGAAAACTGTCTTAACTTCTTGTACTTAGGATTAGTCCTAACTTTTTTACTTAAGACAAAATCTTCCTAATGGAGATAAAAACATTCACTTGTTCCATATCCTGTAATATGTCATTGTCATGTTGAAATATTGTGTAGAATGGCGGATGATTAAATATAAAAGGCCTGTAAAATTGACAATTTAAACATTAATATTCTTTATGTATAACTAAGAATCTACTCATATCATTAATGTTAATTTGTAACCTTGAGCACTAACAATTTTTTTTTTTTCTTACATTCCTTTAAATTGTATACTTAAATTGTATACTTTCTTGAAAAAATACTCCATATTTTACTCAAATGTAAAATATCCTCTTAATATTTATGAGACAAATATCAATTCTGCAGTGAATTATTGTAGAATAATATGCTCCTAGTATAAATATTACTAACATAAGGCCGATAGCGGAGTTATTTATTACAAAGCATTTAAAAACAATTAACCATAGATCACATCATTTTACTGTACTGACAGTATACGTAAGAAAAAGATAATATCTCATTCTAACATGGTAATAAAAAAAGATAATCAATAAAAACATTTTAACATTACTAAGCATAGTTCTAAGTAGTTTATCTACGTCATTTATTTATATGACGTCATATCTGACTTTATTATTATGTGTATCTTTCTTTTTCATGCCATGCATAATTTTTATATCTAATCACTTGACTAGTCAGCCTTACTGTATCTGTTTATATAGGGGAATAATGTGAGGCGTGTTTGAATTTTATGAAATTTTAAAAATTACTGAATCTTGAAAATGAAACAAATCGCCAAACTAAGTCCGGCAAAGCCATATCAGTCACAATGTCAGTCATACACTATATGAGTAGTCATGATTTTCTTTACTAATTAATAAAACCTATCAATACACTGGTAACAAAATGAACATGTTTATTTTAACAAAAGTTTTATTTACCTTAAACATATTTAATTAAGTAATATCACAGTAACCAACACTTATTATAATTTCATATTAAATCAGTATAATTATAACAAAAATTTATTTAATATACAGTATTAATATCCTTTTTCTTCACTTATCCTTCATTTTAACATATATATATCGTTTACCAGAGAATAAAACAAGAGCTGCAATGATTTTTTCAGCACTTGTTTTTGCTATTTATCGACTTAAGACAAAAGTTAGAGGTGCCCTGAGGCAACCTATAGGAAAAGTCTTAGTTTAGTCTTAAAATTGTACTTAGGAACTTTTCTTTGAAACGCATTTATCACAGCTTATGCACTTACGTACTAAAATCTGGCTCTAAGATTCTTTATGAAACGCACCCCAGAGTTCAAACAATCCAGATATTGACCTAGTCTACAGTTAGATACAACTTATAAAAACTGTTTAATTCAGATCATCCCAAATAATGTGTTTCAATCGGTATATGTCATAATTAAGATAGAATATCCGTTAATATGATTAAGAGTTTGTTTTTTTTAGAAATGACAACTGTTTTTTTTATCTGAGTCCAGGGTAGCAAATTGGACGTCGTTTTGCCTACTCCCTGATATCATTATTCTTTACGGCAAATCTGTTCATAAGTGTGAAGAAATTCGAATCTGTCAGCAAACAGAGACATCCACGCTAGCTTCCATGCATACGTCTTGGTCGGTGCCATGCCTTGAACTTCTCTAAGAATGGCCTTGGAATATATGAATACTTAAGTAATAGTGTTCTTTTTTTCTCTTGTATTTACTTTTAGCTTCATTTTTAGCGTAAAAACAAAAACATAGCCATGACAATCATATTTCATTGGATTTTAGTTAACGCGGGGATAAAAGCCGTGTAAAAGCTATGATATTATGTACGGAATTTCCCGTGAAACGGAACATATTCATAATTTATCACGTGATAATAACAAAATGTAGGATGGCAATAATTCATTTTTTCTTCACTCTGGCTTTGCTTTCGACAAGAACAAAATGTTAACTAACCTAATTCAGTAAATGATAAACATATTTAAAATATATATATTTATGTTTTCAAAAGTCCTAAAATTATGTCCATGGTGAAATATTGCATAATAATTGTGTCAACCCTACTTTTCACCAGTTCTTGTGCTTATGAATACAACTCAACACAACATGCCGCTCTGCTAAAATGCAAGATTGCTGCCCCATCGTGAATTGTCTAATGAAAGCAACTTTTTTCTGTTGTTAAAATTCTGTCATTTTATCTCTCACAAATGATTGCACCATTATATCGATTGTATCTATAATAAAGATCACGGAAACCTTATGCTGAAACTTATTGATGAAACATGTATTCTTATAATTTTGTTTCATTGGACGTGGCGGTATATGACTGCATTCCTAATGAAATTACTTTAAAACAAAACATGATGTTCTTATTTTGCAAAAATGTTATTTAATGATGCAACAAATTTTATTTGATGTTTAAATTTACAAGCAATATTGTTTGTATATAGTAGGGCTAAAGCATATATATATAGCCTGGAACCTGTTGATAATCGATCTATTTACCCATATAATCACAACTGCATTTAAGAATTCAAATCTCCCTAATATTATTGAGTCCCCTACCGGTTACCGGAAGGTACTTTTAGGTAAACACCTCCGTCCGTCCGTCTGTCCGTCCTGTCTGTCATCTGTTCCGTCCGCAAACTAGATCCGCATAACTGAATAAGTACTGAAATATTTTTTAGAAACTTTATATGATAGATGGCAGTATGGAGATTAATTGCACGTCTTTTTCGTTTCTTCTATGTTGAAAATTCTGGTTGCCTATGGCAACACAATAGGCTAAATATGGCAATTTTACACATAAACTGGATCCAGTGATAACGCAAAATAGTACTGGATAATATTTTTATGAAAGCTTTACTGGGTAGGATGGCAGCTTGAGATTATGCACCGTCTTTTTCTTTTCTTCCTATGTTTTAAAATTCTGGTTGCTATAGGCAAACAAATAGGCTGGAATATATGAGCAAATTTTACACATAAACTGTATCAGGTGATAACGCAAAAGTACTGGAAATATTTTTATGAAACTTGACATATGGGTAGATGGCAGTCATTGAAATTATGCACGTTTTTTTCTTTCTTCCTATGTTTAAAATATCTGGTTGCAAAAAAAAAAAAAAAAAAAAATGGCAAACATAAAAGACATAAAAAAAATATGGCAAATTTAACACGCATCAAACGTGAATCATTGATTAACTCAAAAGTACTGGAAATATTTTATGAAACTTGACATATGGTAATAGCAGTCTTGAGATTATGCAATGCCTTATCTGTTTCTTCCTATTTTGAAAAAATATCAGTTGCCTGCAACAAATAGGCTCTAAAAACATGGCAAATATAACAATATTTTGTGATTAGTCAAAAAGAGCTGAACATTTTTATGAATTGCATCTTTAATTCAAGAGTTATCTCCTCTTTAAGAATTTTGCTTTTAAAATGGTATATATTTTGTAACAGGGATGTTTTCAAATATTAACTTTAGAGTGTCCTTCAGTCCGTCTGTCTGTCTGTTCATAAAAAACTGAATCCTGTGATCACTTTTTAAAGAGAACTTTTCCAACAAATTTTTTTAAAGTATGAGAAAAAATTGAAACATTAGTGAATGGCCAATGCCCTTCAGAATGTTGATGGGGTTCTATACCGGTAGGGGACTTATGGATTGCTTGCAATACTATGATAATTGCTTGTTTTGTATCATTTATTTTGATCCTTTTGCCATAATAATTACATGGCAAAACATCACTGATATATAGTTTTTAGCTTGGAATATACCGAATATCTTACAGACATGTCAAACAGGTTGAAGAATTAGGTCACGCCATTATATCGATGCACTTGTGAGAATCGCTCATTAGCCAAATTAGGGAAAGCCTTACCATCTTTATGTTAGATTAGATACTTTCAGTCAATTAGAAACATGTTTTAAATGTTTTAAAATGTAGCATAAATTTAGGAACTTTTAACAGACAATAAATGTACTTTTAATAAGAACACATTATTTATAAGTCTATTTATTATCTTCAACGTCTTACGGTATTGGAAACATGTTTTTGATCATTTTACTGCACAAAAATACATGTGAAAGATTTTCGTGACAGTGTTGTAAATGTTAACAATCAGTAGGTGACGTATTTTGCAAAAAATGTAAAGATTTGTAAATAGATCGATACAATGAATAGCACGATACAATGGGGGTTCCACTATATGTACATGTAATGCATTTACAAAATTTCCTTTTGTTATGTATTTTCTTCTCACATTACAGATAAACAATAGAGATGGCATAATTCCATCACAGAGTGAGGATGTGGAAGACGCAGTAAAACCTAAAGTGAAAATTGAGATGGATTTAAATGATACAGAACATGTTCTTGCTGGAACATATGAAGTATGACACTTTTATTAACTGTAACATTTTTTGTTGATGAGCATGAATTTGGACATTAAGATTCATCTCTTTTTCTAAATGATAGAAATAATGTGATTTAATAGAAATAATGTAATTTATTACAGCTTATATAACTTTTTATGAGATTACTGATGTTTACGGCACACTAACATAATTTAGGTCACATGGCGCCGAAACAGGAAAGATGATTTTGGCTAACCTCGGGTTTTACAAACACCAGGGGTCAAACCCACCTCACTTGCTGGAGCTAAGAGATACATGTGTGTTTCTTGAAAGGAAAATGTTATTATATCTAAATGATGTATTGATGTGCATAGAGAAAATGGAAAAATACTTTACATAAATTATATATTTTAAACAATCTTCCTAACAATCGTCATATTTGTTTTTTTCTTTTCACATTTCAGAGTCTTGATTATGATGTCTGTGAAAATGTGATACATAGAAGAGATGAATCTGGTCGAGGAACAAAAGTAATTTTTCAGAAAGACTGAATTTATTTTTAATAAGAAATGAATGCATATATTTTAATGATTACATATTATGTGAACAAATATTTGCAGTACATATTTTACATATTTTTCGATGTTTGAAATTTTTTTTAGAAGCATAATTATATACATATATAAAATTTCACTTAAGTGTAGTAACAACCTTAATAACAACATACATTACAGGATCTTTAACTTTATTTACTTAAATTTAAATGCATGCATGTGGAGTAGGAATTTACTCTCTTCTCTTAAAGATATGTGCACCCGTATAGTCTCTTGATTTAACACAAACTGATGGGATACAATATCTATTAATGCAATGCTAGCTATAAAGAAAACCTTAGACTCAACATCATTGATTGATCTGCATATTCCTATTTTAGTTCTTTAGTGATTATTTGTATAATAAAAAAGAAAGGATATCTCATGAAAATATAATTTGGAAAGTTTAAGATGAACTCCTTTTCATTGATGAAACTGCTTTTTATTATTATGTACATATAATTATTACAGTGGGTGATCAAAAGAGAAGTTGCGAGATGGGCTGTAATGGGAATGATAGGTATTGTCACAGGTCTTATTGCTTCCCTCATTGATGTGTGTGTCGAATACGCATCTGATCTCAAATTTACATATGTCAAGCAGTGTATCCTTGTTTATAAAACATATACATGTAACAATGATCTCAATAACTTCTATTTATGCTGTATACAGTAAACCAGTGCTTCATATTTCTTTTTCAGTTTGATAATACATGTACATGTATTAAAAAAGTGATCAATTAACTGTTTAATTTTGCATTGAAGTTAAAGAATGTTCTAAGGTTTTATCATTTGCATGAATTTTGTTATTAGTTTTCAGTGTAAGAAATAAGGATTTGGATCGACCAGGCTGGTCGGACTACCAGATTGGAATATTCACTAGCCTAAAAGTCTTTTCACTAGCACGACTCATTTGTTCAAAACAGTTGTTTATATTGCCTCTGAAAATACAGTAGCCTGGTCGGGCTTGTTACTGTGAAAAGTTTGTAGCCCGAGGAGAATTTTAGTAGTCAGGGGCTATAGGACTACTACTAATTTCAAACACTGAGTTTTATAACTAAAATCTTTCATCTGAGAAATTCTCGGCAAGTATTAATATTCTTAACATTCTGTAGCACTAGAAATGACAAAACATGAGATAACCTTTAAGAAGACAATAATACATTGTGTTTGAAAAACGTGAAATAATTATTTATAAAATTGCACATTTAGTCTTAACTGAGACATAGATGTAGATGATTGCGCTGAAAAGCATTGTCTAGTAAATCCATTTGTAGCATGGGTTGGTTTTAACGCATTAATTGTGATGGTTGGAGCTATCCTCACTGCTGTGTTTGCAGTAAGAATTTATTTATTTTCAATTTAAAGAGTTATTATCAACATTTTAGTAAATGCTTTAACAGAAATAAATGACTTTTTTATATGCAAACGTGGTTACTGTTTATATGGAAGTATTTTAAATGATAATTATTTTTTGAAAAAAAGGCGTTTTTATGCCCCCGCCATGTAATGGCCGGGGCATATAGTGTTACCCTGTTCCGTCATTCCGTCCTTCCATCCTTCCGTCCTTCCGTCATTCTGTCATTCCGTCATCATCAGTTTCCGTTCATTATCTTAAGAACGGTTGCACACATTCAAGTCAAATTTGACATATGGATATGTCATGAGAAAATACAGGTCAAGTTCGAATTTGGTCATGGTTCGATGATTTTTGGCAGAGTTATGCCCCTTTTACTTTGAAAATAATATGAAATTTCAGTTTCCGTTCATTATCTCCCCAATGGTACAACACATTCCACTCAAACTTGACATATGGATATATCATGAGAAAATACAGGTCAAGTTCGAATTTGGTCATGGTTCGGTGATTTTTGGCAGAGTTATGCCCCTTTTACTTTGAAAATAATATGAAATTTTCAGTTTCCGTTCATTATCTCCCCAACGGTACAACACATTCAACTCAAACTTGACATATGGATATGTCATGAGAAAATACAGGTCAAGTTCAAATTTGGTCGTGGTTCGATGATTTTTGGCAGAGTTATGCCCCTTTTACTTTGAAAATAATATGAAATTTTCAGTTTCCGTTCATTATCTCCCCAAAAGTACAACACATTCAACTCAAACTTGACATATGGATGCGTCGAAGGAATGCGCAGGTCAAGTTCAAATTTGGTCATGGTTCAATGATTTTTGGCAGAGTTAAGCCCCTTTCACTTTGAAAGTAATATGAAATTTTCAGTTTCCGTTTTTTATCTCCCCAATGGTACAACACATTCAACTCAAATTTGACATATGGATATGTTTTTGGAATGCCCAGGCCAAGTTCGAGTTTGGTCATGGTTCAATGATTTTTGGCAGAGTAATGCCCCTTTCACTTTGAAAATAATATGAAATTTACAGTTTCTGTTCATTATCTACCCAACAGTGTTACATATGCAACTTAAATTTGACATATGGATATGTCAAAGGAATGGGCAGGTCAAGTTGGAATTTGGTCATGGTTGATGATTTTTTGGCAGAGTTATGTCCCTTTCACTTTGAAAAATAATATAGATACATCTTAGGAATAAGCAGTTTAAGTTTGAATTTGGTTGTAGTTCAATGATTTAAGACAAACTTATCTTTCCTGAATGTTGGAAAAATTTTGAACTTTCACTTTCAGCACTCTTACTTTTAGTCATTATAACAAATATGCAATATGCTATTTTTAAAAGGTTTAGACTGAATAATTTCAGTGCCTTGAACATTGTATGAAAATGGTTTGTGTTAACATTGAAAAGTTTTAAGGGCTTTGAACTTAAAATGAAAAAAATAATTAAAGCACCATCTGAAATTTTGGCTGCATGCGGGGGCATCCGTGGCATGATGACACATTTCTAGTTTTATTATCTAAAGCGTATGTAAGCACCCATTGTTGACCCCCTTACATCATCCAACCCGGATGTAAAAGATGTGCCCGCGCAAATTTGACTGTTGGACGCAGATGCGTATCAATATTATATAATGTTTGATGTATGTGTAAAACGGAAATATCATTGTTAAAACAAGCATTATAGATGAGAACAAATGCTTGTCTTGTTACTATTTACAAGCTTGTACAATTGTTAGAAGAATATTATGATAACTATTTAACTGAACAGAAGGTAATTTATAATTATGACTAGTATATTTTACTGTCTGAAGGTTATGTTTATGCTGTATTTGTACTTTACAGCCTGTTGCTGCTGGAAGTGGTATCCCACAGATTAAATGTTTCCTCAATGGTGTTAAGGTGCCACATGTTGTACGTGTGAAGACATTGGTTGTGAAAGTTATAGGAGTTGTGTCAGCTGTAGCTGGGGGTCTTGCTGTGGGCAAGGAGGGACCAATGATCCACTCAGGGGCTGTGGTGGCAGCTGGTATCTCCCAGGGTAGATCATCATCATTTAAATTTGATCTTAAGGTAAATTGTCTCTCATTAGTAAAATTCATAGAAGTTCAAGGTAACTTTTTTTTTTATTTAGAAAAGTCATATAAGTTCCAAGTACATTTCAAGGAATTTTGTTTCTTATTAACAAAAATTCATATAAATTTCAGGTACATTTTATTTTTGTGCACATTTATTAATAATCATTTAAATAGTAGCCAAGTTTTAATAGACAGTTATTGGCAATGTTACTCATTACTAATACAGTTATGTTCTGACAGTCTTTATTTCCAACTTTTATTTTACCTATATTTTTACTTGATTTCATAGTTCTCAATTAGAGGGGGGATTTTTATTAAGCAATTTAGCAACTTCTCATGACTGCTTATTCAAAACAATACCATTATAATAATATTTGTAAATAAGGTTTGCCATGTTTTACTTTACAGTTATTTGAGTATTTCCGCACAGATACAGAGAAGCGTGATTTTGTATCCGGTGGGGCAGCAGCAGGTGTTTCTGCAGCTTTCGGGGCACCAGTAGGGGGAGTACTTTTCAGTCTGGAGGAAGGAGCAAGTTTTTGGAACCAATCTTTAACATGGAGGATTGTAAGTTTATATGAATCATTCTGATATAAATATGTAAAAAGTACAAAATTAATTCTTACCACACTTAATATCACAAATGGACTTGTCCATCTTTCAATCTAGACAAAATGTTCATCATTTTTGTGTCGCCTCTACGGAGTAGTGGCGACATATAGGGATCACTTCTCCGTCGTCTGTCTGTCCGAGCAAACATTTGATTATTATGAGCTTCATTCCGTAGTTAAATAAAGAACAAAAACTCATAAAATTCAAATTAAGAGCTATTTTTTTGTTTTTATGAGCTTATTTTGCTTATGGACGTTGGTCCAGGTGGTGTTTATGAGCTGATTTGCCTCATAAACATCAAAAGTTGGTACGTCCGTCTGTCCATCCGTCCGTCACAAAACTTGTCCGGACTACTCCTCATAAACTACTGGTGCAATTTCATCCAAACTTTACAGGAATGATCAGTACCAAGTCTAGTTGTGCATATTGTCAGCATTTTCCGATTCAATGATTTTTGTCAGAGTTATGGCCCTTTAATAATTTTTATTTTTAAAGCTTGTCCGGACTACTTCTCTTATACCATTAATGCAATTTCAATGAAACTTTACAGGATTGATCTGTAGCTCAAGTCCTTGCGCATATTGCATGTGTTTTCCGGTTGAATGATTTTTTGCCGAGTTATGGCCCTTTGATAAAAAGGGTTTTTTTCTGTGTGTTGCCAGATACACAAAAGCTTGTCAAGACTACTCCTCATAAACTACTGGTGCAATTTTATCCAAATTTTACAGGAATGATCAGTACGCAAGTCTAGTTGTGCATATTGTCAGCATTTTCCGGTTCAATGATTTTTGTCAGAGTTATGGCCCTTTAATAATTTTTATTTTTAAAGTTTGTTCGGACTACTTCTCTTATACCACTAATGCAAATTTCAATGAATCTTTACAGGATGATCTGTAGCTCAAGTCCTTGCGCATATTGCACGGGTTTTTTCTGGTTGAATGATTTTTTGGCAGAGTTTATGGCCTTTTGATAAAAAGGTGTTTTTTCTGTGTGTTGCCAGAATACGCAAAAGCTTGTCCGGACTACTCCTCATAAACTACTGGTGCAATTTTATCCAAACTTTACAGGAATGATCAGTACCAGTCTAGTTGTTGCACTGTCCCGTCTGTCTGTCCGTCTGTTACAAAATTTGTCCCAACATGAAATTGGCCATCACGAGGCGACACATGTGATTACTGATCGCTCTTGTTAAAAAGAAAAGTTTCAAAATGATTACTTACTGAATTGCAACAGTGCAGACTATACTCAGCTGGCACAGATGTATCTGCACTGGTTGCATGGGTAGATTCATGTGCTGCCAGTTGGTTAAAGTGACATTAATTGCTAGAGTTCATTAAACAGAGTTTAATGGACAATATATCTAACACAAAGTAGTTAACAAAAAGCAATGACTCAATAAATTTTAGAAATATTTTTTTACTGTTATGTATTAGTTTGATATTTTGATAAGCATTTCAAAATGTTATGTTGTCTTTGCTGTTATATATATAATAATGGACATTCTCCTTTAATTTATTGACCTTGATGTAGAGTATAAAGTGTCTTATTATTCTAAGTATGATGGATTGGTGATTTGATTTTTATTTTCAGTTCTTTGCATCTATGTTATCTACTGTAACATTAAACATAGTAGCTAGCTGTCGTAATGGTAACTGCCTAGACTTGTCATCACCTGGTCTTTTCAACTTTGGAAAATTCAATGTAAGGCAATAAGACTTAAAGCAGCATGCTCCAGATTTATGTTAATTTTCGTAAAAATTTTGAAAATGTATTTCAAAGTAAAATATTGTGAAGTTAACAAATAATGTAATTTACACATTGCAAACGGCACTAACAAGCAACGAAAATTGCCAAAAAAGAGGCCAAAATATACAAAACTACCTCTTACTGTGTTAGTAACGCAGTAAAATTATAGTGATTGATACTGCAAAATTCGTCATTAATCGCACATGACATGTAAATAATTAATTAGATTTTGAATCTTTTTACTTTTCTTAAGATATTAATACATTTGTCTAAAGATAGAATTTCTTGAAATATTTTGGCTCATCCGGAGGCGTGCAGCTTTAAACCTTAAGCTTTAACAATTAATATTATTGTATATGTAGGAATATTGATATCAAGGGGAATAAATCAGAAGATGCAACATTTTATTGATATTTGATAATATGCTGTTGACTGTGTGAATGTTACGAAGTCAATGCATTTAAAACAACCATCTTGAAATTAACCTAGGCATTTTATTTGTTAGATTTAGGTAATTTCTGTTTCCAGTTTATTTTTGTAAGAAATAAATGTCAATGCGCATGCTCAATTTTTTTTTTTTTTGATTTTAACATTTGTCTGTTAAGTGATTTGATATCACATGATTATTTTGATTAACATTATTTCCTGTTCAAACAATGACTAAGCTTTTGATTGTGTTGATTTACAAATAAGAAAGTTGACATGATGTCAGATATAATGTCAATTAACTGAATGACACTGAAAAAATACTTATCAGCTGAATGGACATGGATTTTTTTGTAAAGTAACCGTGATTATTATTCTGATTGTTTATAACAATATAACTGTTTATTACATGCTTTTCGGTGGTTTATAGAAATATATCAGTGATATAAAACTGGTAATTTCACTGTTTGAAACAGTGAAATTACCACTTTGATAATTTCACTGTTTTGAATTTAATCCCCATACGTTGTTTCAATGAAATACAAGCGTGCACAGTACTGGGTACCAACTTAATGACGTGACGTCGTAAATGACGTCACGTTGTATAATTATTTGGCGCGCTTTTCATTCAATATTTGGTTAAATGTCTTTTTAAAACGTTTCTTTGCATATAATAAAAAGAAAATTTGTTTAGTTTAGTGTAAGATCGAAATATATTTCACCTTGTGAACACCAAAAGTTTATATTTCACTCGTGGCTGCACCACTCGTGAAATATACCTTTTGGTGCTCACTCGGTGAAATATATTCCGATCTTACACTGAACTAAACAAATATCCTCTATATATCTAATCTGAAAGTTCACCAGCATTGGATTTGCAATCCAGGGGTCACTTGTTCGATCCTCAAATGAGGCAAAATTTCTCTGTGACAATTGATGTCTCAAGGTCATTTGTCTTTCACCCCAAATTCAGAAATCATATGGGATAAGTAGTCGGTCACTTTTGGAGAATTTGATTATTATCTGTAGCAGGTTTGATGTATCAACCGCTGAGATATGACAAAAACTGTGTTAAAATCAGCATTGATAGCAGAACATTTAAATGAACAAAATATGATCTCTTATCATACAATATAATCTAACAATACACTTTGAAGTTGTTATATACTTTTTTCTTTTTTTTCTGATTGATGTTTCTTTTGGTTTATTTGTTTTATATTTATATTGGTTTATTTTGTTATTACATGTATGTTTTTTAACCTTTCAGCAAACAAGTTATGGTGGAGTGGAGATTTTCATGTTTATTGTTATGGGTGTTATAGGTAAAAACATTGTTTTATTCCTTAATACAAATAAACATGCAGATATTGTATTGGTTTAAACAAAATTTATTTCTTCTTCAGTATTTTAAACAAAATTACAATACATAAATTCCATACAGGATTGAGTAGAAAGCTATCATATTGTATTTCATTGTAAGATAAAATATTTTATACATCTTTATTTTAAAGTAATAGTTGATTCTGTTTAAAATGCATTGGTAGTGTAGTTTGTAGGGTTTTTCTCTTTACAAACTGTTAATACAGGTATGTTCTTTTAAACTGTTTTAATATTCAATTGTGGTCACTTGCTTTATTTTCAGGAGGTTTACTAGGTGCCTTGTTCAACCATATTAACTATAAATTATCTTTATTTAGACTCAGGTATGTATAATATATAATTTTTATATTCTGAGTTCAGTAATATAGAGCAATAGTTTGTTTGACTGTTAGTGATCTTAAACATTCATTATATTACAACCTAAAAATTGATATACAGGTGATCCTCAAAGCTGCTTTTGTATCAGTATACAAGGATATATGATTTTTAACCATAAATCTTTGTTTTGCATGTGAAATCCAAATATATTTCACACAGTGAATGCCAAATTAGTATAAGAGCTGGTGTTCATGATTGAAATATAATTTGATCTTACATACAAATGAACAGTTTTCCATTTATTCCATGCTTTTTTGTGTTTTTCAGTCATTTTTTTGTTTACAAACTTTTGCAGCACAATGACATGCACTCTGATTCATGACATCAAGTCATGACATCACATAATTCATGTTGAAAAATAATTCTTTAAAGATTCACTGATCATTTTTAACATGATATGTAAAAATCTTCATGTGCTTATCGTAATCAAGCACATTTTGATTTTTACCTACCACAGAGTGTATTTCTGAAGATATTTCCACTTACTTATGATACACTGTTCTTATCTACATTCAAATATGGCCGGCTACTGTGAAAACTCCTTTAATAATTACAATGTGTATTTAGAAAAAAATAATTTCACTGTCTACAGAAAAACATGTTATAAAGACCCATATTTAGTAGAATTGAAAATATATATGAAGTGTATGACTACATATAATTTCAGATACATTCACTTTAAGTTTTTACGTGTTTTGGAAGCAATGATGGTTGCACTGATATCTGGGACTGTGTCATTTATTGTTATACTGAGCTGGAATGATTGCCAGCCTATGAGAGCTGAGCCTGCATCTTATCCTGTTAAGGTACGCATCATGTTATGTAAAAGTGTTTTCATATCTTGTATATTTATTATCTCATCAATTATATAAATTGTCATAAAATATGGAGGTCAACTTCTTTCCTTGTAATGGCATAGCCATACTATGTTTATATATGATTGTAAAATGTGACTGTAAAAATCATATTCTATAAAGGTTCCATATTCACTTGATGTACCAGTTTATATCATATCCTGTAAAGGTATACATCATATCCTGTAATGATTAACATCATATCCCATATCCATTTAATATTCTAGCATACATCATATCATTTAAAGGTAAACATCATTTCATGTAAATTATTGCCATATCCATTTCATATATACATCATATCCTTTAAAAGTCAAATTCAAATCCTGTTAACTTGTTTCATGAGATAATGATGAAGTTATATCATATTACAACATCATATCATATAAAAACATTTATTATAACATGAATACAAATCTTGTATTTAAACAAGTGTGATCCAAAATGACAGCATTACATACCAGTAACATGGACAAGTTGGATATAACTAAGGGATTAGAGGGGAAAAATATATTTATAATGAGAAACATCCATGAAAGATACAAAACTAACCTGAAACTTTAACCAAATTTTAATCAAATTTAATGATTAATTTCAGTTTTTCTGTACTGCTGGACAGTATAGTTCTACAGCTTGGTTGTTCTTTCAAACTCCAGAAGAAGGTGTCAAACATTTGTTCCATGATGCTGAAGGTAGGTTTCAGTTTGAATACAAAACAATACTTTTTTTTATGAAATTTTCTGCTTGACTTGTTTTTATGCTCTATGTGATTAAAGATCACCATATAAATTAATAGCTGTGACTCTGTTAAAAGGCAATATGATTTGTGCATTCAACAATAGTTTACTGGAATGAACTTTCTTATAATCACATTTTGTTAGTTTTGATTTAATTTTGTCAATGTTGTGTCAATTTAAGTAGAAGAATGTTCCCTGTTGTTCAATTTAACTACCGGTAGTTAAATATATAGTAGAGAATTTCAATTTTATTTGGTATAAAACCTGTAAACTGGTTCAAATTACAATCTTAAAAATCAAACTTAAAATTTATTCTTTAAAATTTAGTTATTTCAAATACCGGTACATTGTATATGTAATATTTGTTTACAGCGTTTTTTTTCTCTACTTTGGGAATGGTGCCGGTACCAGACTGATTGGGGGCAAAATGCGTTATTTTTACTTAAATTGGGAATTTTTTTATGCATTTTTTCAGCTACAAATAAGATTAGTCATCATGAATAAAGATAGCTAACAGCTTCCACTGTCCAGGTAGAACTAATGAGTAGAAATTTATATGAATATGTTGGATTTAAATAATTTCAGAGGAATCAGTTGGCCTTGTGGGAATTTGAACAGCCATTTAGGGAAATTAAACTTTGGAAATTGGGAATTTTAATGTCTATTTTCTATTAGGAACAGTACTGTTTTAGGGTAGTAGTTATATAAAGAAAAAAAAAAACACTGGTTACTTTATGACACTATAGGTACCTACAGTGTAGTGACATTGGTGCTGTATTGTCTGACATTCTTCTTCCTGGCTTGTTGGACGTATGGACTGTCTATACCTAGTGGATTATTTATACCAAGTTTACTGGTGGGTGCAGCATGGGGACGGCTGTTTGGACAATGTTTACAACTGATGTTCCCTAATGCTGTGAGTTGTCAATCAAATTAAAACTCATACAAATACTGATTTTAAATGAAAAGATTATTGTTTAGATGTATACTAAAAGTTAATAAAGATTTTCATGATTTTTTCGCATCATTTATATGTATTAGATATAAGCAGGGCTGCCAATTACCATGGATTTGCGGAAAACTCCTAGTTTTATGATCTACAGAACCATTTTTCAGATTGATTCAGAGAGAAAATTAATTTCATGGGATTAGACAATATTACAGTTTACTTTAGCAAATATTAGACAATCCTCTACCAATAAATTCATGAAAGTTTATAATTGTATTTGACTATCAGTACGGCTTGGATTTTATTATTATCTCATTATTATTGTAAACCTTTTAAAGAAGTGACTGCTATTTGAAAATATTTACGAACCATACTACCTGCAAGTTCTCTTAATTGTCATAGAAAATTTACAAAAAATGTTGAGGAAAAAAAGAAGTGAAGCACTTGCAGATCAACTGAACTTTCAGAGCTTTTGAAAAATGCACTCCTTGGTCACAGAACCCATGAATTTCGACTTTACCTGTTGGCAGCCTTGTTTTTTCTTATGTTATATAAGGTCACTTACTGAAATTTGTTTAATAATTTTCTCAATTACATTATATATTGCTATATAAATAAAGGGAAAACATTGTCTAGTGGTTAAGATTTCTTCATTTCAGACTTTACTATAGTCATGAAAATGTTTCATATGATGCCAGTTCTGGTTTGTCATAAATGTGCCAAAAGAAGTTGAAAGGACTTGTTTTACAATGTAACTTATGAATTTATTTGAACTAGTACAATTGTATATAAATGATGTATTCTTTCATGGTTATTGTAGGAATGGCTAGATTCTGGAAAGTATGCACTGATTGGAGCTGCTGCCCAGCTAGGTATGGTTAGATAAATAATGTATTACATTGCTATGATAACATTTGAAAGAATTATGCTGTTGAAGGCCGATCTTCATATGGAATTTATTGCATTTATATCAATTAATATTTGAGAGATCTTTTAAAAGTAGTTTGTTAATTATCCTAGCCTATTGTATCATTTAGAAACATTTTTAAATGGAATTTGTCTTTGGCAATCATTGATATTTATTTATGTTTGTTAGGTAGGTGCTTTAGAAACACATATATATTTGTTGCCAAGGGTATTGTATTCAGTATATTAGTTGCGTCATGACAAAACCAACATAGTGTGTTTGAGACCAGCATGAATCCAGACCAGCCTGCGCATCCACGCAGTCTGATCAGGATCCATGCTGTTCGCTTACCAACTCTGTTACAAGTAGAGAAACTGATAGCGAACAGCATGGATCCTGAACAGACTGCGGGGATGCGCAGGCTGGTCTGGATCCAGGCTGGTTGCAAACGCACTATGTTGGTTTTGTCATGACGCGGCTCAATTATGATTTCTTTGATCAGCTTAAATAAGTTCTAATTACATGTAGAATATGAAGAATGATGAATTGTTAATTTTAGGTGGAATAGTTCGTATGACAATAAGTTTGACTGTGATTATTATAGAAGCTACAGGAAATATAACATTTGGTTTACCTGTAATGGTGGTACTTATGGTATCCAAGTGGATTGGTGATCTCTTTAATGAGGTATGTGTATCTGTTGAATTATGTTTTAAGCTATAATACTATCTTTACGATAAATGACCTAGTTATAAGGCAAAGATTTATAGATGAGCTTTTCGAAAGCCACTAATACTCATTCATATTAAAATTTAAAACATTTAAAAATATTTGGTGTTTGTTAATTTTACGTGATTTTCAAAGAATACTGGGACTATCCTTCTTATCTGGCATAATACTTGATAAAGGCTGCCAGTTTGATTCTGCTAGATACCATGAATTTTTCCAATGAAGATATCCAGCTAACTTGTAAGAAGTTGCAGGTTCTACCTTGATGCTATTCTGTAAGTACAATAAAGCATGGCTATGTATCTCGGGTCTACCTCTACCTGTAAAACCTGAAAGTTGCCATTTGATCTTAGCTGGAAAAAAATTATATAGACATTTAGACATAGGTGTATTATTTAATATCTTCAAATTTTTCATTTGATATGTTTCAGGGTATATATGATATGCACATACATCTTCAAGGTGTTCCACTGTTAGGCTGGGAACCACCAGTACTTTCTTCAAACATCTCAGCCAAGTAAGCATTTCTTTATTTTTTTTATTAGTGAATTGAAGTATAGTAGGAGATATTTTTAGCCATTTTTAATGAATTGATTTATTTATGAATCTTATTTTTTTTGTCGACCATACTATGTAATGTTGGTATCAGTTGTAAGGAAATTTCATTATTAGTTTATTTGCTTCATGCCAGTAGTTAAACGCAAATGGTTTAATAACAAAACAAAATTATTTGTTAGGAGTTTTACTTAACTAGTGACTGAACACAGTTACTTCCCCTCCCCTGTAACCACATGTTACAGTTTTTGGTTGTAGTCTCTTTTTAAGATAATTATTAAATTCTTTTATATTAGATATGTAAAACCAGTATGACATTTCTATATAAATCCTTGGTATCCAAGATGTTATGTTGGCAATTAACTGTTTATAGATTGCATGAGCCATGTTAAATACATGTTGAGATACATATTTTGAGATATTTATTGCTATGCCATTCAGCAATCCAGTTTAGTGTTTTAATTCATACTCTTCATTTAATTCAATAAATACAATGTTTGTGACATATTTTTATAACACTCTGTGCAGTATCTTAGAAAACAAAGCTTTGACTGTGTCAGCACTTTAAACTTTTATGTTTCTAAGGTAATTTTGAATGCATGCATATAGCATGCTTTTGTAAGTATAAAGGTGTGAAGTGTTTTTAAAGTTTGATAATTGTAATATACTGAGTTTGTTGTGCCATGCTAACATTTTTCAGACTAGCACTTAGGGTATATAGTTCAGTAATGATGGCATGTATGCTATCCAAATAGATGTTCCTTGAAGCTAAAAGGGGTGTTTGTGGCCAAAGTGGTTAAGGTTATTGACTTCAAATCACCTGCCCCTAATCTCTGTGGGTTTTTATCCTGCCAGGGACTTTGAAATCTTACATATGAGGGAGCTTTCTAGCTACAAGCCTATGGAATGTCAGAATGTAGTTCCATTTAAATTTATAATTAGTAGTCATAGTAACTTTTGTTATAAATGTAGTCATTATTGTTTAACATTAAAGTCACCATTACTATAACAGTATTGCTTTGATTATAAAAGTCTTGTTGCCATTGATGCAAAATTCATTATATCATTGTTGCCATTGTTGTTATTTGTATAAAATCAATTTCGCAATAGATACAATAGTTATGTTGCCTTTGATACAAAGTTAATGTTGAAATTGGTATAACATTCATTGGTGTAAAAACATATGATCATTGCCACAGAAATCTGATCCTTTTGTACAACTGATGCATGTCATCATGGGCGTAAAATAAATTTTGCCTTTGGTACAAAGCTCATATTGCCATTTGCCATATATTTATATTGTCTGGTATAAAATCATTTAGCCATTGCAACAAAATAATTTTGTCATCAATTGGTCATTGTTGTCACATGTTCACAGATATTTTGCCATTGAAAAAGTTGTATTGGCATTGATGCACCTTGTACAAAATTCATATGACTATTTATACTACATCATTTGCATTGGTACAAAAATCAACAGTGCCAATGCTTTAAACATAAGATGCTATTTGTTGGTACATTCATAATGCTGCCATTGGTGCCATTTGTACAATATTTATATCACCATACATACAAAAGTTGTATTAATATTTTTCTCTATAATTGACATTTTCTTGTGTTACATTAGTGTAAAATCCAGTTCACCCACATGTTATTGTGCAAAAATCAGATTGCCATGCCTACTTTACATATTTTTGCCTTTAGAAAAAAAATATAGATACTGACTTACAGCTTGTAACGAATAAAGAAGGATTTGAAACCTTGTCAGAAAGAATATTTGATATTGTCCCATGAAAACAATCTGTTTACAATAATGGTGACTCTTTCCTTTGAAGTTCTTTGATGTTGTTTTATGTCACTGTATTTGACTTTTAAAGAAACATCAAACAGAAAATATATTCATATTTATAACCAACATCTGGTGTGAGTGAGATTTTTCATAAATCCAGACTTATTTTATTGACAGCTAATGTAGATTAACAGAATAAAAATAGACATTTGTAGAGGAATGTGACATGAAACAAAATGTCCATGAATTTCATCAGTCTGTTCTATTGGCATTTCTTAAAATGTTTAAGATTAAATAATGTTCTAGGTGGCACATAGTTTGATTGTGGTAAAGCCTTAAAATGTATTCTTGGGTAACAGTTTTATTAATAAAGAAAAAAACACTGCTTTTTCTTTACATAAAAGATATATTGCAAAAGGGAAATATATTATCTCAAATCAAAGTCAGTATTTCAGACCATTTATTTTTGCATTAGTTGTTTGTAATTGTTATAAAAGAAAATCTCAGTTTACTGGGTAGATAACATTAACATTATTTCATAAAGTTTCCTTTTTTTATTGCCAAAAATTGGTGTAAATATTTAAATCAATGCTTCCTTCAATTTATGTTTTAAGCGTTAAAAGATGATCTTTAAACTATTTGAGCCGTGCCATGACAAAACCAACATAGTGCGTTTGCGACCAGCATGGATCCAGACTAGCCTGCGCATCCGCGCAGTCTGATCAGGATCAATGCTGTTCGCTTACAGACCCTATTACTAGTAGAGAAACTGATAGCGAACAGCATGGATCCTGATCAGACTGCACGGATGTGCAGGCTGGTCTGGATCCGTGCTGGTCGCAAATGCATTATGTTGGTTTTGTCATGGTGGGGCTCATTATTAGATTTGAGTTTTTACTAATATTTATCATATTTAACAGAGAAGTGATGAGTCATCCTGTAACAGTATTAAGGAAGTGTGAGAAGGTGGGGCGTATTGTGGACATTCTCAAAGCTGAATCTCATAATGGTTTTCCTGTAGTACAGGACTTTGATCCAGATAGTGTTCAAAATGTAAGACAAGTCATTGTATTTTCTTTGTTTAAACCAAAATGCTATCAATGTTGTTTTTGTTTTTGAGATAGACTTATAGCCTTTTCCCTGTTAAATATTTCTTATGGACGTGTCCAGGTTTAATTTTTAAATTGTCCATTAGGTAATGTAAGGTATATCATTATTAAAATACATGTACTTTATAATCCAAAACTTTAATAGAATCTGGGCTTTACTGGTAGCATCACTTGGTAGCATGAACCTTCTAGTTTTAATCTTAACTGTTAAATTTTTTAAATTTTATTTACTTAATATAAAGAATTACTTCAGTTCTGCTTCTACTTGGTAAAAGTTTTATTTCATTACTGAAAAAATCTTGTTCATAATTTTTTATAAAAAACTGAAACATCTAGGTTGTTTTGTATATATTTTGTAAGCATTGGTATGTACTGTACCCTTGCCAGTGCTTAAAGTGTAATGTTGATATTGAAGATTAGCAATGATATTGAATATTAAAAATCAAGATAATTTCTTTAGGTTGTGTTACAATTTTATCTCAATAATAACATTGATTACCTTTTGTATGATGCAACTTTCTTGTAGCAGAATCATCTTATGTGTTCCTGTTAATAATTGGTGAAAATAAAAGATTTTTATTATTACTATAGCAAGATGGTGTTCAAACATTTGGTACATTCCGTGGTGTGGTACTTAGGGACCAACTTATTGTACTTCTTAAATTAAAGGTAAAAAAAACAACTTTATACTCTCTACAAATTAGACCTTTCTTTATGTTTCATTCCATTTATGTTTCAGTATTGAAGCTATTATGTAACATTTGTGACAGACTAGTAAATAAGTGTTCAAATTGAACTTCTTGTTGCCATTATATAACAGAATGACTTGTAAAATATTTTTGAAATGGCTTTATATGATGTGCTTATTATGCTCACTCCAAAAATAAATCCTCTATTTTGTTATACCCCCAAAAACGAAGTTTGGGGGGGTATATAGGAGTCACCCGGTGGTCGGTTGGTCGGTCGGGCGGTCGGTCGGTCGGTCGGTCCAGACGTCCGTTGCATTTTCCTTGTCCGGACCATAACTTGAAGACTAATGGTTGGAATTCAATATAACTACATACAATGGTCAAGCACATTGAGAGGAAGTGCAGTGCACAAGAACCATAACTCTATCTTGACTAATTACAGAGTTATTGCCCTTTGTTACTTTTCCTTGTCCGGAGCATAACTTGAAAACTACTGGTTGGAATTCAAAACAACTTCATACAATTGTCAAACACAATAAGGGGAAGTGCAGTACACAAGAACCATAACTCTATCTTAAGTAATTACAGAGTTATTGCCCTTTGTTACTTTTCCATTGCTTTCTTTTGTCCTGACCATAACTTGAAGACTAATGGTTGGAATTCAATATAACTTCATACAATGGTCAAGCACATTGAGAGGAAGTGCAGTGCACAAGAACCATAACTCTATTTTGACTAATTACAGAGTTATTGCCCTTTGTTACTTTTCCTTGTCCGGGGCATAACTTGAAAACTACTGGTTGGAATTAAAAACAACTTCATACAATTGTCAAACACAGTAAGGGGAAGTGCAGTGCATAAGAACCATAACTCTATCTAAAGTAATTACAGAGTTATTGCCTTTTGTAACTTTTCCATTGCTTTCTTTTGTCCGGAGTATAACTTGAAGACTAATTGTTGGAATTCATTATAACTACATACAATGGTCAAGCACATTGAGAGGAAGTGCAGTGCACAAGAACCATAACTCCATCTTGACTAATTACAGAGTTACTGCCCTTTGTTACTTTTCCATTGCTTTTTTTGTCCGGAGCATAACTTGAAGACTAATGGTTGGAATTCAATATAACTTCATACAATGGTCAAGCACATTGAGAGGAAGTGCAGTGCACAAGAACCATAACTTTATCTTGACAAATTACAGAGTTATTGCCCTTTGTTACTTTTCCTTGTCCAGAGCATAACTTCAAAACTACTGTTTGGAATTCAATACAACTTCATACAGTTGTCAAGGACATTAAAAGGAAGTGCAGTGCATAAGAGCCATAACTCCATTTTTGACAAAATACAGAGTTACTGCCCTTTGATACTTTCCTTGTCTGGAGCATAACTTAAAACGTACTGGTTGAAATTCAAAACAACTTCATACAATGGTCAAGCACAAAAAGAGGAAGTGCAGTGCACAAGAACTATAACTCCATCTTCAGTATTTATAGAGTTATTGCCCTTTGTTCCTTTTCTTTGTCTTTCTGGACTTATTACAGAGTAATTCAATAAAACTTCATCAATGGCCAACCACATTGAAAGGAAATGCAATATACAAGAACCACAACTATCTTTAATTGCCCACAACCATATTTCTATATTTCAATTCTTTTACAAGATATTCTGTTACTAGTAACATCCTCATTTCCTAAGCAGTTTTGTGGGGGTATTAATCACATTTAGTGATAGTTCTAGTTTTGTATGTTATGGAGCCAATAAAGTAATTTCACCAGTTACAAATTTGTATTTTTCACTCAAGTACAATTGTATGTTTCAGATATTTCAAGAATTACCAGATATTGACAGAAGATTATCAGATTTAAAATCTTCAGACTTCAGGGATGCTTATCCAAGATTCCCACCTATACAGGTATATTCTCACATAATCTCATGATTTATAATATGAGTTTATTATTATATTGGGAGGATGGCATTAAGAAAATTAATACTACTGGATTACTGGCTTATAAATTTAGATTACCTTCAAGTTTTAAACTTTTGCTAGTGGTTGTATTGACTTGCCTAAGTTACCAGTATAGAGCCAAGTCTGTCTTCACATCCTTCAAACTAATACATAATTGTTTTAAAATCTTACAGTTATGAGTAATATGTCTTTAAGTAGTTTTTAGTCATATATATTTACTATATTTTAGTATTTTTGTTCCATTTCTATCAGATTTTACAATAGATTTGATGTATCCTCACAAGAACGAGATTTTACAATAGATTTATGCCCTTTATGAACCCAGGAACATACACAATACAGGATGTAAGCATTATTTTTTTCTGTATTTCCTAATCCTTGTACCATGCATATATGTTAGATAAAGGTTTACTTGATCCAGTTTGTTCAGTATTTATCATTCTCACAGTCTATACCTGCAATCTTTTGGGCATTTTAATTAAAATAATCCCTCATTACAAACCATAAAATAGTGACTTATACTTGCTACAAGCAGTCTCATTTCTTTAGATTTAAGGTATATACATTCTAAGATGTTCATTTTTAGCTCAACTTTTTTTTTTTTTTTGAAAAAAAAAAGTAGAGGTATTGCTATAGTCGCGGCGGCGTTCCTGTTCCCGTCCGCAAACTTGTACCTGGATCATAACTTTTTTATTTCTTGGTGTATTGTCTTCATACTTGGCCACAACAACCCTTGAGACAAGACCTTTCAGTAGACCAGACTAACCTTGACCTTCATCCATAAATGACCTTGACCTTCAAGGTTAAAAGTCCAAATTTTGCTTGTTCATGCTGTTATTGGCTGTAACTTTGTTATTTTTGAATGGATTGTCTTCAAACTTGAACATAATACTCTTCAAGGATATCCCTTAAAAATAACCAGACAGACCTTGACCTTTACTCATAAATTACCTTGATTTTGAAGGTCAAATTATTGAAATTTTCAACTTTTTTGGCTATTATTGGCTGTATCTTTGTTATTTTTGAATGGATTGTCTTCAAACTTGAACATAATAATCTTCAAGGATAACCCTTAAAAATAACCAGACAGACCTTGACCTTCACTCATTAATGACCTTGACTTTGAAGTTCAAATTATTGAAATTTTCATTGTTTTGGCTGTAACTGGCTGTAACTTTGCTATTATTGAAGGGATCAACCACCACCACCACTACGTGTCACCAACACCATGTGTCATCACCACCACGTCACCATCACGAGTCACCACCAACACGTGTCACAACCACCACATGTCACCACCACCACATGACACCACCATCACGTATAACCACCACATGTCACCACATGACACCATTACATGACACCATTACGTGACAACACCACGTGACCACACCACATGACTCCACCACATGACTTCACCACGTGACTCCACCACCTGACACCACCACGTGAATCCACCACGTGAATCCACCACATGACGTTACCACGTGACTCAACCACGTGACTTTACCATGTGACTCCACCACGTGACTCCACCACCTGACACCACCACATGACACCACCACATGACATCACCACGTGACTCCACCACATGACTCTACCAAGTGATACCACCACGTGACTTTACCACGTGACTCGGCCACGTGACTCAGCCATGTGACTCCACCACGTGACAATACCATGTGACACTACCACGTGACACCACCACATGACTTTACCACGAGACTTTACCACGTGACTCCACCACGTGACACCACCACAAGACACCACCACATGTCAACCACGTGACACCACCACGTGTCACCGCGTGACTCACCCACGTGTATCTATTTATAGAATTTTCTATTTATAGAATTGTGTGTTTCTATTTATAGAATTGCATGTTTCTATTTATAGAATTTTCTATTTATAGAATTGCGTGTTTCTATTTATATACATGTATATATATAATTTAGTATATTTATATATACAAAATATATAAACAAAACTTATGTGTTAAGACAGACCGATTAATTTTATAAAAAGGAAACGTTAAGATTTTGTTCAAACATTTCTTTGTTTGCTTTTAGAGAAAGTAAAAAGTCAAGCGTTACCCCCGCCCGGCGGTGGCTCTTGTTTAAAAGCAAAATAGCCTTGGAAGGCCACGACTTAATATTTTTTCCAAAAGCATATGTTCTGGAGGAACATGTTATGTTAACACACCCCATTAGACAATAGGTCCATTGTTTAAATACACCTATACAACCCATAGTAAATTGATTTCATTAAGTAATCTTTATTTTATATGTCTATATTAACATATTTCAGTGTTCATCATTGCCAAGAATATTCCGTCTATTCAGAGCATTGGGTTTGAGACATGTAGTGGTGATAAATGAAAGGAATGAGGTAATTGTCACACTTTCTTAATGGTTAATCTAAGACCATCTTTTAGTCCTTATTTTACAATATAATATCATATCTGGGAAAAATTGAAATTATATTAAAACATGAAAATATCAAGAATAGAGATGTTTATCCAAAATGCTTTTTTAACAAGAAGTTTGAGATGTACATAAAGTTATATCACAATGTTGGTATTGATATACAATGTGTTGTCACTAGCAATATCTTAAGTGTTGTTTGCTTACTGGTTGCTGTCGACACTATAGACATGTCAATTACTACTTACAGTAGCTAAAATACTATGAGTGGTTACTAGCAGTTAACTTATTAATTAAATATATTAAATATAGGACTGGAGTTACTGACAGATCCATCAGTATTACTGATACACTACCTGTAGCAATAAACTTCTATACTAGTAAAGGCATTAGGTGTTTATACAGTTTTTTTTTAGTTTGGCTATATAGGAAGCTATAATCTTATAGACACACTTCCAAATCCATTCCTGGAACCTACCAGTACTAAGCAATGAGTGTAAAGTTTCTTGCTCAAGGAAATAACGACTTGCCCCTTAAGGGGTTTGAACCTACATGGCTAACAGTCCATAAATACATGTAACTAGTTTGATCCATTAACTAATTGGTGTTGCATCAACTAAGCATTGGTGTCAAAAGCAGCAGTAATAGCAATAGGTACTATGGATATACTGCTAGAAGTTACAAGTGGTTGTAGGGGCAGCATTACTGTTATACTGGTAGTAACAACATTACATCATCATTTAATATAAATCTATCTATTTCAGGTGATAGGAATGGTAACAAGAAAAGATCTGGCTCGTTATAAGGTGCATGTGTCATGCGGAAAAATAAGAATAAAAGAATTAAATGTCTCAAGATAACCTAATTAATGATAAAAACTTTTATGTCACTGCTGAAAATTTCATATTATGAAATTGTTTCAGTATATTTTGTTTGTACTGAGCTTACATAGACTTTGATAATATTCTGTTAAGCTCTTGTTGTTAAATTTTGCTACCTGTTAGGCTGGTCAAGTAAAAAAATGTTTTCCTTTTTACCATACAAATAGGCTGTTATAGATGGTGCTTTAAACACAATGTATGGATTGGAAAATTTGAAATAATACCATATCCGTAACTGCTCTGAAAGAATAACTATTTCAGACCTAGAATATATTTGTTCTTCAAAAGTTACCTTTCCATTTAATCTCTATAAACAATACCTCATTTTCCTAAAATTTTATATTTTCTGAAAAGTTGTTATTGGTGCTAGTGTTCATTTATGTAAGACATTTACTCCTATGTCAGCCATGCTTCTTTATTTCAATGGTTAAATACACAATTAACTTCTTCAGCAATTGTTTGTATAGTAATTTTGAAATAGTTTTTTTTCAGCAACAAAAGTGCAATGTTGTGGGTTTTTTTGGATAAAAATACTTAATATATTAACATTTATTAAAAAAAGTCAATTTGTGTTCACTTTTATTAAACATAATGTTTTAAAAAATAATAGTGACATGTTTTAGCTGTGTTCATTTATTTTTGCTATTATTTATTAGAAAAACTGATTTATGAATTACCGATTACAGGCAAAACATTGTACCAGTCTGAACATTATCAAACCTTGTAACCTACATGGATATGAGAAATTGGAAATATAAAAACTGCCATAGCAATATTAATGTCTCCTACCAAATCTAGTAGGGTATGTTTTATCAAACAGAGAAAATATTTAAATTTTGCTTTTACTATAATTATGAATTTAAAGTGTTTATGTTTAATTTATTCTTTGTACAATGTGTATACATTTTTTTTATAAAGATGACCCTGTTTTGTACTTGTTTGATACAGGTGTTAACTACTTTATTCAGATTTATTTAATTTAGTTTTTATATTTTGAAGTGATAGAGCAATGAAAATGCCTTACCTTTGCCACTAGTATCAGCGTGGGCTAACCTTCACATGCTGCATGACACCATACACTTGAATATTCACTGAAATCTTCTTACAATAACTATTTTATTATATGACCAAATTAAAATTCTTCATTTGGTAAATCTATTTCCTTTTTCATGCATGCAAGTCCTAAATAAGCGGACAGAAAGCGCAGTAGTTTTTTTTTTACATTTTTGTCTCATTTGTTTCATTTATTTAATTCCGTTTTAAAGTAGGTAAATGTTCATAAGAAAACACAGAAAGATGTTTTTAGTTTATCATTGTATTTTTTTTACCCAAAAACAAAACTCTGTCTAAATCTGTAAATTACTATACCAGCCTACACATTAACTAACTTTGAAATACAGATCCTGGGATTTTTCCCAACCTTTGTTGTAACATTTGACCATGTTGAATAAACTATCTTTTTCTAGTTATATTGGCTACTGAATAAATAGCGCAGTAGATTTTGAAATGATTTTGTCAAGTTTCTTTCTTGAGTTAAGTTAAGATGTCAGTAATAATTTATTGATATATTAAACTGAATTACAATGATTTGTTTGATTTTTTTCATTATTATTTTTTTTATCATCTTGTGTTTTATAATGAAACTCACTGCAAGAAAGAGAAATATATTTTTTTGTAATGTAATTTGATAGTCAAACAGATGTTGTTTCAGTTGTTTCAAATTTCAAGTCATCATATTAGGATATTATCAAGCTTGTTATATGATATTACAAATTTAAAACTTTAAACATTTTTCTAAATGTTCAGTGTGAGCATTGTCTCTTTAAGCTGTATGAGAAGTAGATAGTTACATTTAAAATACACAGAAATAAAGTTCACATCTGCTAGTCTGATTGTCTATTTTACTTGGCACACAATTTGAACACATGAAGCCAAATGTTATCTAATGATGTAGCATTTTATTTTTGTTTTCTGCAATGTACGTAGGTTCTTTTTAGTTTAAATTTAACATCTTTTTTTTTTTTAATTTTCAAAGATAAATGTAGTCTAATACTGGTATATAATATTCATAGCCATTAACAGATAAAAAGTTAAAAGTCATTTGAGGTAACTGTTGAAATAGTCAAAATGTTGAAAAATATATTTTAGCTAAATATTGAAAAAAAAAGCAAAGTAAATTAGGAGAAAAAAATTGTTTCAATAAAATGTTGAAAACTATTTGAGCCAAATGTTGAATTGGAAAATCATTTAAGCAAAATATTAAGAAGGTATTTGAACAAATACTGTGAATTTATTTAAACAAAATGTTGGGGAAATCATTTGAGCAGAACAATGGAAAAGTCAAAATGTTGGAAAAAACAATCAAACGAGCTAGATTCTGCAAATAATTTGAGAGAAATATCTTTTAAAAAAATCAATTGATCATTATGTTTGGCACATTGGAACAATATATATTGAAAAAATGTTTTGAGCAAAGTATTGGAAAATCACTCCAGCAACAATTTAAGAAGAACGTTGAAAATTAGTTAAGCAGAATGTTGGATGTGGTAGGGGCAAATTTTAGAAAACTTTTAAAAGAATTACAGAAAAATGTTAAAAATTATTAGGACAAAATATGTTTTAATAAATCATTTTTGCAAAAAAAATAAATGAAAAATATTTTGAGTAAAAGGCTAAAAAACATTGTTTTTTTACAAAAGTGAAAATGGTAGGTGCTCAATGTTTGAAATGATGCCTGAAGTAATTAATAACAAAAGGTGTATTCATATCTGTTATACCTTTTATATGCATAAATTTAAACATATTTTATTTCAAACATTTTCACACAAACATATATTACATACTATCATTAGTTACATGATAAACAATGTTGAAAAATGATTAGATCCGAAAGCATACAATGCTTATAGAGGTCTTTGTCTAACATAAAATTCATTACTGTAAATTTGGCGGTAAATTTCATGTTTATGTGCATTGTGTAATAAAGGTAAAAAAGTTGTTATTATTTAATAGTATATTATTGAAACATTGGTTAAGAACGCTGCTGTTATTGTATGTAAATTTATACCTATTTGTGCAATATTCTTTTGTTATATTTATTATTTTGTAGTTTTCACTAAGTATGTACTCCAAGTTATACACATTATGAATGTGTGACTTTATTTGAGTTTGTTTTCATTTATGTTTTTACAATACATGTATTAACATTTCAATTAGAAGTACAAGTAATGTTATGCAAGTTTGCAGACGTAGCACCTTTGGTATTAAAGCTGCATGCCTCCAGATGAACCAAAATATTTAAAGAAAATCATACTTGATAAAAATTACTGAGATTTTAAGAAAAGTAAAAAGATTCAAGATAAATGTAATAATTTTCATGTTATGTGCCATTTATGACCAATTTTGCAGTATTTTCACTATCTTTCGACTGTGTTACTAACGCAGTAAGGGGCAAATTTTGCATATTTTGACTGTTTTTAGTAATTTTTATGGTCTGTTGAATGTTTGCAATTAAAAAATTATTTACTTTGTTAATTTTACAAAATATTAATTTTTAATGCATTTTCAAACTTTTCATGAAAATTATCATGAATCTGGAGGCGTGCTGCTTTAAGAATATTTATTATTACTTTGTGGTAACCTATGTTAATTTAAAATTGTCTCAGTAGACAGTGGCTTCATTAGCATTTTTTAGAATTACCATTTTTCCACAATTAAGTCTTCTATGTACATTTAAAATTTATTGATGAATATGCGTAAATAGTTTAAGTGATTTTGGTGTTATGAATGTAGCATTCATTAGTTCCATTGGTCAAATAAGAAATGGACCTATTGTCACATCACTCTCCTTGATGTTGGTACTTGGATAGGAAGCAAAAAGACTGGTTACCCCAAAATAAATGTTTGAATGGGTTGCCCCTGTTTCATTGTAGAAATTTTCTGTGTTGACGCAGAGCCTTGCTAAGATCTATTTCTAAAGAAATATTCAAGATATGCCTCCACTATGATAGTTGTTTCTTCTAAAAAAAAACTCTTTTATTGAATCAGCAGAGACCCTAGTTTTTTTTATCTATACTCAAAATTTCATGATGAAAGGAAAATTTAATTTAAAAGATGGTTCATACAAATTTTTGTATTGGTCCTATGGGATATCAAAGAGTTGCTATTTGTGTAGTAATTTATTATTATTGTTGTTATCAGGGTAATACGAGAAATATTTTCAGTATCACTGGACAATCTACTGCAGTTAAAACCCGGCTTTAATTGAATTAGTCTGATCTTTCTAGGAAAAAAAATGATATTATCTCTTTATCAGATATATCTTGGTTTATTGTTATGATCAATTTCAATATCCACCATAGAAACAGGGGAGGCCTAATGTTTTATATTACGATAGTTGTTTTATTTTTCATACTGAATTTTGTTTCATTGCCTTGTTCGTTCTTTTCTGTTTATTTAATGAACAATGTATATATTTTGATATCATTTTTGCAGCAGGAGCACAAGTTAAGTCAAGTTATATTGTAGATATCATGCTTTAAACATTTAATTAGTTGAATAATCTCCCTCCTTTAAAGTTTTATATAGCACCAAATCCTGATTATTAAATATTTTTTATCTTTATGTTAAGATATGAAAACACATTTTACTGAAGCAGTTTATCATGTTGGTAATGTAAAACATTTATTCCACAGAAATTAAGAGATGAGTTTTTAATGGAATAGTCCGACCTAATCAAAAGCGAATTTCAGAATGATGTTATTTGTTTTGTTAAATACATGTTTGTTTACAATTGTCATCATTATCTTTAGAAAAGATAGTGTTTGTTGTTTTTGTAAGAAAATTGAAAATAAACTGATAAATTTCTTCAAGCATATTTGTTATGTTTCAGTGTTTTATATATCTTGTAAAATTCAATGCTCAGACAGTCATAAGTTATAGCTTGTGACCACAAGCATGTAATTTTACAGAATGAAATTTGTTTAATTTTTTTTTATCTTTATGTTAAGATATGAAAACACATTTTACTGAAGCAGTTTATCATGTTGGTAATGTAAAACATTTATTTTACAGAAATTAAGAGATGAGTTTTATAATGGAATTATTCTTTTTAAGTGCACATAGTTTTAGTGTACCGAGGAATATAGATATATACGTGTTGTGATAAAGTTTTAGATTTCTACATTACTAGGTGTATTGCATTTCAGGAAATAATTGCGAACAAAACGAAACTTGCAAAATACGTTCTTTATGTTTAATGTATAATGCAAACAAGTATACCGTCAAACAAAATTACAGGCGATATAAAAATTACCCGATTGATAGTTTAAAAATTATAGCATTGTATGACCAAATTACAATTATACAGGATGTCCAGTTTCATTTTGTCCTTTTATGCTTTAAACAAACCATTTGAAGTTCCGAACAATCTAGTGAAACATTTACTAGTGTAGAAAAGCTATGTGGAGGAGCACGCATCATACCCATAGAGATAATAAACTGCCGAAGGAAGCTCTTGCGCGCGTTATTTACATAATATTTTTTTGTGCTTCAAAGTAAGTTTTTTTTCTCACACTACATCAATAAGGATCTTTGTTCCAAACAGGATTGTCTGCTTAATGCATGTCTTGATCAAAGCGAGCGGTTTGAAGACAATAGTAAAGAAAGAGATCAAGATTTTACTTGATGTCTACAATGCTCGAGCACAACAGAATCTTTAGTCAATAGCATTCTAGAAACGTACTCCTTTTTAGCATTTTTCAATAAGAAAAAAACGTAGGAAAAACGTAAAAGTAAATTTGTAATGTGATGAATGATATATCAAAAAAAAACATTAATGATTAATACGGTTGCACCATGATTCTTTAAGTGTTGCTTTGTTTCAAGTTTTCATACAAGCTATCAATAAAACGTTAATTGCGATGCTGATTGATTTATTAAGTAGACAACACATCTTTCATATTTTCTTTATGAAATTACTCATTCACAGTCGGGGAGAATAATCTTCAAGTCGTTCCGTTCAGAATTATTGTTACTGAACATAAAAGAAAACGGATAAAAGATACATAAAGAAAAAGCACTACCGTTAACTTTAAGTGTAACAATATATAATATTGTTATGTTTATTGAAGAAGAAAAAAAAAGATTTATTTCCGTACTTATACAGTCTCTTGTAAAATACATTATTTTAGCAGTGCTTTTATATTTTCTATCCATATGTGGTTTTAAGTTGCTTGACAGTTTTTAAAAGCTCGCTTACCAATGTGCCATATACACAGTGTACACATTCAATCATTTTTAGAAGAAAATAGAAACAAGTGAACCACCTCTTCGATAACATCTCTGTTGCTATTATGTATAAGCATGCAAAAAATATTTTTTGAATCTACAACCCCCTTAATATAATTGCAACCGGGAGTGATTAGCCTTGACCACCAGTAAAGAGCCGGACAAGACGCCTAACTGTTAAAGCTGAGTTTTTGTATTTTTATTGAAATCCTGTCGGCCTTGAATGAACTGTTCCAAGTACAACGCAAGGAAATTCCATTACATCAATCCAGCATGTTTTAGATGCGGCATTATTGGTGAACAGGTAAAATTAACTGATTATTTTATTGCTTATTTAAGCAAATACTTTTCTTGTGTTTTGAGAGCACCATATTTCTTTTAATGTCGTGTACAAGTGCGTGTTAACTATGTACTTTTAAGCAATGCCCTTCCTACCGAAGAAAATATGCAAATATATAAGACGCCAAAGGTTTATTTTTACTTTCATGTTGACAGAAAAAAATACTTCAAACGATAATTGTATGCAAATACAGCATGACTGATTATAACAGCTGGTACTTTGATATCACAATTATAACTTGTATTATGATATTTTTATGTATCTACAACAAATATGATAAGCTTTGTATTCATTCATGCATACTAAACTGGTCTTATACTTGTGCATATGTAATATCTTATGTGTACATAGACGAGACAGAAATAAAGATATATTTATGTGTTTATGTGTCTCAAAAAGGGTTTAGGGCTGTAAATATAATATTTGTTATCTACCGTCTCTATAATCATGATAATTTACATTTTATCTTATGTCATTTTATCATCGCAATAAAAAATATATTTGACGATCTTAATAATAGCTTGTAACGAAAAAAAGAACTATTTCTTTCAGTCATTATACAGAATGTAACAAATGTAAGATATCGAAGTCTTTTACAGAAGTCAAGAAAGTAATTCAGTAACATTTTTTTATTGAATTTGCTAATATTTTGAATAAAGATAAATTATATTTACAAGATACAGGGTATCACTATTTCAGTTCTTAGTATTTTTGAATGAATGAATGAATTTAAATCATTATTCACAATCTTGATTATGTAACTTACAAGGGTAATTTGTAGGATAATAGAAAATGAAACGTACATGTGAAGTACAACACTATTGAAGCTGCTTCATTTAAATTATTTGGGTATGTTTATATAACCGCATCAAATAAGCAAACAATTAATTTCTGCCTATTAACAATTAATTTGTGCCTATTAACAAAATTCATTTCATTACTGATTCGCAGATATAGAAACTATTTACTAAGTATAAAGGGAACATTAGCTTGAAAAGAAAAAGATAAGGCATGTTCAAATTATATTATTGGATTAGAAAATCAGTAAAAATACGTTAATGTCAGATTAAATTGATTGATAGATGATATCAAAGAATTATATAATGAGTTTATATCTTTGTCTAATTGAATTAGAATACGCTCATTGTCACAGTAATTTATCATTTAGTTTGAACTACTAATTGCAAAATCCACATCGGCAAATGTAACAAATTAAAGATTAATATTCCTGCCAACCATGATCTGATTTAATTAAATTGTAGGCTACCAACAACATTTACATGTTAACGCAAATTCTCTGTTAGATATTCAGATATTTGTGACGGTATTCTGGATTACATTGTGTCATGTAATCTATAATACAGTATGACAGAGAAGTTAATATACTATATTTTAAAGCGCTTCTAATTTGTTATAACTTTCAATAAAAAAATACAATAACTTTTAATCTATATACGTTTTTACTGTTACTTCTCATCAGAATTAAGCAATGTATACTACCCGATGGGGACAAGGTTTAAAATGCATCCAAAATATTTGTTCTGCAATCAGTAGCATTGTACTTTTAGACTTCAAGAAAATACAATAATGATCAAATTAAAGTACAAGCTCCAAAAGTACATGTAGCATTTTACGCGTAATCCAATAAACTTAAAATGATATGTTAGTGTGAAACGTGTTGTTTAATGTGGTTGGTTATATAAACTAAAATGCTATTAACCTATAGCTCTTCAGCGCTTCTTATGTAAAATTCTTCCAAGTATAATTTCCAATAACCGTAAATTATACCATACCCAGACTATGGTATAATTTTCAGTTTTGAAGATCGAAGGAGTAAGTGTTTCTGGGCGGAGCTATAGGTTAAAACAGATACACCATTGGTGCGTTGACGATTTCTGGGTTTGCGTAAATTATACCATAATCACGTGACCTTTCTTCTGCAACCTCACTCGACTTCGTCTCGTGAGGTTAAGGCATAAGAAAGGTCACGTGATTATGGTATAATTTACGCAAACCCAGAAATCGTCAACGCAACAATGGTATATCTATTACCTAACATTCTCATTAAATCACACATTTATGGCAGACAGTGAAAGCTTACCCCTTTTTTTTCAGCTGCAGATTAAAAATATTTCCACGATTATTAAAATATGAGGATAACATATGTTTTATACACATCTATTTGTTGTCGGTGTGTAATGTTGCTTGTATTTAAATGCCAATGATATAATCCTTGCTGGAAGAATTAAATGTTCAATATTGTTTAGTAAGTGTTAGTTAAGTGTTCAGCAAGTGTGTAGGTTTTAAGTATAAAAGATCAGACATATGCAAACATTAAAAATGTGTAATTTATGATACTTACTAAAATATCAAAATTGCATTAGTAATGTTTAAAAATACCTGTAAATTGTCAAAATAAATATCACTAGTATTTGAACATGAACCTTAAACTAACAACGGGATACGGCGGGTGCATGTTAACATTTTAATGTCAAACATGGAATCATTGTTTTCTTACAAAGGCCCATTTAAGAGTTGATGAAATTTCTTAAATTGTAATATATTTTTATTTGGCTAAAACGCATTTTATACTTATACATGTATACCGCCAAATTACGTTTAATAACAAAATTAACGCTTGCTTAAAAGTTTAGAAATCAACCTCATGTACCTCGTATTTCCGTTACATGCACTTTTGTTAACTGGAAGAGATTAATTTTATTAGTTTTATTTTCTTTGAAGACAAAATAAACTATTCCAGTATCTTGCAGGCGGTTAACCACACTACATTTAAATAATGATTTGATAATTACAAACGTGCATGTTGGTTTCAAACGTCCCTATAAGCTGTATATATTTAGATATCCTCACTTTGATAAAGTCCTAACTATGATAAAGTCCTCACTTTGATGAAGTTCTCACTTTGATAATACCATTTCAAATGTATATGGGAATACATAACTTTTTATCAATCTTGTCGTTAAATTTAAAAAAAAAAGGGGATATACTAATAAATTTGTGAAAATGAAATATCATTTAGACTATGTTTCAGAAGGTGATAGATAATCAAATGCACCTTTACGTTCGTAATATTCTTAAGAAATGGACCAGCGCTTGTTTTAGGAATATCTCGTTCTTTTTTATGCCCAGTTTTCATTTAAATGTCTGTGATTTGTACTTCTGTATTTACGTTAAAAGAGAAACATATTTACATTTGGATGTACGTTGTCTGTAAAGC